GTGCATCCTTCCCAGGAACCCACTCTAACTGACAGTGCATATAGGCTGCTTGCTATGAGGAAAATCCAGGAAAAAGCATAGAGGAATCACCTCTACCTTTTATACAGGAAGGATGGATTTTTTTTTTAAAGTCTGGCTAACATCACAACACTCTGGTCAGAGGTGAATGTACAGTAATTTATCTCAATAAATCATATAACATGGAGAGAAAAAGCCTTACCTATACAAGTCTTCATCAGACTTAACCATTCAATGTGACCCTGAGCAATGAATGTCATTCTTGCACATAAGCAGGTTTCCAGGTCATTCAATATATGCAATAAATGTACTTATAGTCTTAGTTGTTTTTCCATCAGTAATGGATATTGTATTTTAGGGCATTTCAGCTCAATAATTAGTTGAGTTGCATGTTTTCAGGTCTAATTTAATACAATCAAAAATGAGTTCCTATCATGTAAAATACAAAACATACCCAATGTTACATCATGGCAAAATTGGTTGGCACTCCCTTCATTATTCTAAGTGTGTATAACTGATTGACAGTGAGATCAAGACAACTGCAGAGGACAATGCAGCACAGTCTTCAGGACAGAATCATTTGTTTATGTCAGGCATCAAAATGCAGATACGATTACATTAAAAGGTTATGTGTCACTTTATACACAACAGAAAGAGATAAAAAAGAAGTGCTGTTCATATCATCTGTACATTCATTCACATGGAAAATATCTATTGAGTACATACCCAGACATGGTTCTAGATATTGGGCGATATAGTGGTAAACAAGAGACAAGGTTCCTATTCTCAGATAGACCCAGTGATAAACACAAGAATGAAAAACAAGTCCTAGGAGATGTGATAGCAACTGGGTTCAGCTTTCCTGAGGAGTCGCTCTCCAGCTAAAACTTGACAAGAAGGATACTGCAGCCTGCGGACCTGAGGGGAGGGTACTCCCCATGAAGAGAAGAGAAGAGACAGCGGGGGAAATGGGCAGTGAACTTGGTGCTTGAGAGGATGAGCAGAAAGGAGTATGTGTGGAGCTCAGCGAGGGGCAGGGGCAGGAGAAGGTGATGGGGAGGGGACCAGATGCCCCATCAGGAGGCAGGATGATGACAAATGAACAAAAAGGAATAGAACAAGAAACAGAAGGAACCCTGGAATCAGATGACATGCAAAAATAAGGTGGAGATTTTGGAAACATTCAACTTGCTCCAGGCATAATTTCCATCAATATCCTACTGGTATTTAGACCTGCCTCTGACAAAGGCAATCTTATGGTGCCATTTTTTTTTTAATGATGATTAAGACATTTTTAGTTCTTTTCAGAATCTTACATTCCACTATAGTGTCATAATGGGCAACTTTCCCCCTGATTACCAAGATAATACATGTTTAAGACAGAACGTTTGGAAAATACAGAGAAGCCAACAGAAGAATAACAAAAATTGTTCCAAATCCAGCCACCCAAGAACAGCTACTGTTAATATTTGGGTACAGACTTTGCTGTGGTCTGAATACGTGTTCCCTATAAGTCATGTGTTGACCCAAGGTGATGGTATTAGGGGGTTGGACCTTTGTTAGGAGATGAGGTGGAGCTCACTAAAGAGACCTCAGGGAACTAGGTACCCTTTTTTGCCCTTCTACCACATGAAGACACAGCAAGAAGGCATCGTCCATAAGGAACTGTCCCTCACCAGACATTGAGTCTGATCTTGAACTCCCCAACCTTCAGAATTATGAGCAATGCATTTCAATTGTTTATAAATCACCCAAACTAAGTTGTTTTCTCATAGCAGCCTAAAAAAAACCAACACAGACGCTCTTTATACTTACATAGTACAGAGGTTTCCAGACTTTGGAGCCTGGGGAGACTCATTCGTAAATCTATTTTAACTGCTTATAAAATGCCATATAACTACAACCTCCTTAACCCTCAGTTTACTTCTGCAAAATAGGAATATTAGTATTACCTTCTTCATAGGACTGCTGTGAGCATTAATAGAGAGAATCCACATAACACTCTTGACTTAGTGCCTGGCACCTAGTACATACTTCAAGACATTATGCTGTTGATTTTACAAAGCTGTGATTATACTATAAAACTGTCAGGACCTAGACAGTTATTCTAATTACACTAACTATTTTTACATAATCTTAATATTTTTCTATAATGTCATTTTAAATAGCTAACACAGCATTTTGATATGAGACTCTGACTTCTAAGTTATATTAGCATCTATTGTAGTTGAGACATGCAGACTTTTTCCATATACTCACTATTTTAAAAAAAAAGATACAGGCAAAATGAAGCAATCTTTCATAATTATTTCTCCAGGATAAGTTCTAAAAGGTGACTAGGTCAATGGACATGTATATTTCTAAGACTCTGATGCATATTATCATGTCTTCTACAGTGAATATAGTAATACTCTGGGTAAGAATAATTTCTGGAAGTAAATAGTCCACATATGTGTGAAGTTTTATAGGTGTGATTTATCACTAGCTTAGGGTAAAATGCTCTACCCTCCTCCCTCACACTCCCAGACTTTTTTTCTCCACACTTGTTCTTACCTTCTGGTTGGCATCCTCTCTCTGCATTCCTTAGCAAAGCTTCTCAGGGACAGACTTTTAGCTGAAAAAACTCACTTATAGTTTTCTGACTTGCTGGGAATTCTGTACTTAGCATTCTTTTCACTCAAAGGCATAAACTCACAGGGTTTTGGTATAATAGAAATACAAGTACCTCACCTTATAGATGATATGAAACTAAAATAGAGGGAGCAAGAGATTGGTCCAAGTTGGTCCCATGGCCCATGCTATCGCTGGATAGCTGCTTAAGACTGGATCATTTCTTTATCTTCAGTGCCTAGTTCAACAGCCAGTACATGTGAACAGCAAGCAATGTTTGCTAAATGAATAACTATTTAGAGTATCTCACAGCCTCCTAGGATTTGTGGCTGGAAAGGACTACAGAGGTGTGGGAGCTGAGGTCTAGGTTGGTTAATGAGATGTATGCTGCCACATTGCTATCAGTGATGAGTTGGAATAATGACTCAGGTCCCAGGAGAGAGAAGCCAGGAGAAGACATGGTTTAGTGGGTGAGGTGGGCGTCATGTAGAGAATGAAACTAATTCTGCCTTGCTCCAGAGAGGGCAAAGTCAAGACCAAGCAAAATCGGAACTTCCTGGTAGGCCAATTTCAGCAAGATATAAAGAAGGGCCTTTTGCTAATTAGTACTGGCCCAACTGAAATGTGATTTTTGAAAAGAAGTGAGTCACTCCTAATTGGATATGTTCAAGTATGAATGGGGCAATAATTTGTCAAATGCTTTTTAAAAGAAAAAACTTTTGTTTTGTGAGGTTGGTAGGGATAGACAACTTCTAAGGTCTCTACCAAAATGAAAATTAAATGACTTTGTGAAAATATATCTTGATATATAGGTAGTTATCTTTTCATTGTTGATTTGTTACTTGGTGATGGAATCCTTTGAGGGTGAATCCATTATTTTTCTAATTATAAGAGGAACTAAATAAATTCTAATGTTTTTCCTCACACAAGATTCATTCTATGGTTCTAAATAATAGTTTGAGCGTTAATTCAATGTGCTACACATTGTAGGAGTTCAAAAGATAAATTTAAATTAGCTCTAAAGTCTGGAAAAGCTATTTTAAATAAATTAAGCTATAGGCTCTATGCTATTTGAGCCATTTGATTGAACCCAGCTAGTCTCAACCAAGTGTATCAGTTGATCCCAGTAAGAGTATTAAATTTCCATTAGCTATTTTTTTTTAAATTAATGAATGTTAAGATTGAAAAAAGAAATTTGGATTGATTTTAGTGTAATGAGATAAAAATATTCTTTTGCGAGTTTCTGAATGATGATATGAAATTATGGTCAGAATTAGTTCTCAGTGTGGAAGGAATCCTTGTAATATTAAACTGCAAATATAGAGTTACTGGAAGACCACCCATAGTATAATCATTTCATCTGAATCCTACGGGTTAGACTGCCACATAAATGAACCCTGTTCCGAGAATGCTTTCAATTTTCAAGACTTCATATTGGTAATAGAAATGGAGATCCTAACAAGCTCATGCCTGAGTTCAGTGAAATGCTCCCTCTCAAACTTCAATCCAGGAAAGCTCTGATGAGCATTGTAAGATAGCATCTGTGAGGCACTCTTCGATTTCAGCCAGGAAGGAAATGGACAAAAAAACAGCAAAGCAGATTTTTGTTTATTTTTTTCCTTGGCTTCCTTTCCCCATCTCCTGCTCCTACTCATTAGAAGGCTAAATATGGAAATCAATGTTTAAATCAAGTATTTCATTTTATTTATCAACAATATTTTGGACTCTTGGGCTGGGGCTATAGCTCAGTGGTAGAGCGCTTGCCTAGCATGCATGAGGCACTGGGTTTGATCTTCAGCAACACATAAATATAACAAGTAAAATAAAGGTATAAAAATACAATAACATTAAAAAACAATATTTTGAACTCTCAATTAAAACAAACAAACTTAGGCTTAGATCAAATTGGGTTGTCCATTAGCTAGAATATTCCAGTCATGACCTTTTCCCATAATGCATACATATTATGTATTATGGGAAAATACATAATACCCAAGGGCAGCAAAACTTTTGTTTCAAATCTTGTGCTAGATGCTAGAGAAGTAAAAATATCAGGCATGAATTTGGTCTCACCAGGGTATAGCAAATAAATGGCATTGGTTCACCGGGGAACCTAGACCAGGCTCAGACCCTTTTCTGACCCAGGATTCCAGACAGTTGGTGCTAATCTGTCACAGAACTGACATAGGAAGTGACTTCCTGGTGGAAAATCAAAGGTTCTCTGATAACAAGTCTCACTCTGACAATCATAATAATGTTTTTTTCCCCCTATGTATATAGTAAGTTTCACTTTATATGTATCCTGTGGAAGTTTGAGGTTTTTTTGAATGCCATTCTCAGAAACGGGAAAAAAAAATTCTAAAAAAAGTTACCTCCACTGCTGCTTTTGCCCTTTCAAATTCCTCTTCTAAGGAGTGATTTCTAGAAAGTAAAGCACTTCCCCAGCGATGTTCTTTGGTCAGTCGAGCCTGAAATAAACCAAACACAGGATGTTATGAGAATCACATGATACAAAAATACAGGCATTTTTCCTTTTCTCACTTAATTCTTCCTAAAAGTTCAAGAATTCAAGAAGCATTTCTGATTCATGTCATCTTTGGAGTATTTAGCAGGCATGATTTTGCCCTAACTGGGATGGTGCCAGAATGTGTGTGAGCATGCATGATTCTTCCCACGATGTGTCTGACCCTGATTGTGTTAAAACCAGGGCCCACCTCCCAAACACACTACATCAGTAGGACTAGGTTTGGCATTGCCATTGTGGTCAACCCATCCACAGGATTCTAATTTGCAATAGGAAAGAGAATCTCCGTTAGAAGAATAGACCCAGACAACCATGTCCTATTTTCAGCTTGTTAGGCAGACCAGCCTCAGGTGAAAACATAAAAGCTGCAGAGACCAAGTGTAGCTTCTAGGTCTCCTTTGTTCCTTACCCAGAGTTCTCTTTCCTCTGCCTTCTGTACTATCTTACTTCCCATTTCTCGGAGCATTGCTCTCTGTTACAAAATAATGAATTTTTTTGGATAAAATCATGTCTGAAAAGGCCAACTACTTTGTCACCATTAATAGGCAAGCTGATATATATCTTAGCTAAATGCAATTATTTCTAGACTCCCCGAAGTCTGCTATAATTATTAAAAAGTTTTAAAATTTTTTCATAAAAATGAAAATATTATGTTGTAAAATATCACACATAAGAGTTGTCCCTCCAGATCTTTTTCTCTGAAGTCGCATTCATGTTTTTATGCACCCACAGAAAGAATATAGTAATGTACTTAACATTTTTTTTTGAAACATGATATGCTATTCTGCAACTTGCTTTTTTTTTTTTTTTTTTTATTCAACCTTGTATTTTGGAGCATTCACACATTTAGTACTTGTGGATCCACCGCACACCACCGAAGGTGAGATTTTGGTGACTTTTGTACTCGCTATGCGTAGCACAGGGTTTGACAGTGATGAGTGTCCTGCAGATGTCTGGACAGCAGGATGAGGGACTGCACTGATGAGAAGGACAAGAGGGGTGTGTGCAGTGAATCCCCGGTCCCCTTTTATTGAAGGTTTGGATGAAATTGCTCTACACAGGATGCTCAAATCTAGTTTTCACAGAAATTACTTGAATAGACGCGGCACCATCCCAGGTCTATTAAATAAGAATCTCTGGGGGTGGGGCCCGAGCATCAGATGTTTAAAAAGCTCCTCTGGTGATTTTTCAAAAGCAGTCAGGTTTGGAAATCGCTATTCTCTAGTGAAACTTTGCTCTTCACTGAGCACTAAGCATCTATATAGCTCAGCTGCTTTTCTTTTGTTCTGTACCATCACTAGGCCTGAAGAGGAACCCCATTATGACACAATAGTACTATCAAGGCTCACTACATGCCAGGTGCTGTTCTAAGTACATTAGATTCTACAATCCCATTTTGTCCTTTCAATAAGATGATGGCATTGAGGCACAAAGAGTTTAATTAACTTGCCCAGGGTTACGCAGCTAGTAAGCAGAAGGACTGGTGCTTCTGGTCATGGTCATAACCAGTGCACTGCATGGTCTCTCATGGGAGGCAATGCTCACCTGACCATTTTAGGAAGACGTAAAACACAGAAAAGCTGTCCCCAAAGGGTTCAGGCTAGGTGAGGACCCAGAAACTTGAAAAATATTGTGAATGGAAAACAATGAGGTAATGAAGTAATTACATTGAAAACTTCTGATCCTAAATGAGGGTCAGACTATGTTTTGCTCTAATGAATGTGGAAGATTAATTTATAGAAACACTGTTATCTCCTCCTTGTTGTCTGTATTGCAGTTTCCCCATGATCTCCAGGCAGATAGTAGCCTGGAGATAGTAGGTGCTCCTGTAGTCAATACACATTTGTTGAAAATATGCCTTTGGTGAAAAGATAAGTGAATGAATTAAAGGTATTTTTTTCTCCCTGACCCTAGAAGGGGTTCTCTATCAAGACTTCCTGGCCAAGAGGGAGCTCATGGGAAATTGAGAGGGCAATTGATTTTTGTCCTGCATCTGGACTGGCTGAGGTCTGTGATTGCACCGGCCCATTGGGGAAGGGAATGGCTGTAGGATGACCATAGGAGCTGCCTAATAAAGGCTTTGGCCTGTGGGTGTGCAGGGGTGAGGCCACTGCAGTGTGCTTGTGGTCAGGAAGGGTGGTGATCGGTCTCTGGGCCTGCCTGGGTACCAGTGTCTCACTGTTAGGTGGGCAGGGCTCACTGGACACTGTGAGCAAGTAGCCTCCTTGGAGGCTACCTGTTCCCAGTGACTACCTGCCCCCAGTCCAGACAGTGGGCAGGGAGGGAACCTCAGACTTAGGTGAGATTGACTATTACACCTAGAACCAGATTTTATACAAGTTTATAAAAATAATGTGCCAATTTGTTGGACTCCCATATTGTGGAAGCAAACTCATACTCATTGCAGAAGCAAAAGAATCCAAGGTTCTTGGATTCAATTTAAAAATACCAATCAAGTTTTGTTTAAAGCCAAAAATACCATATTAAGTTTCAGAGTCAACAACTTATTCATAATATCCAAGAAGTGAATTAAAAACATTCAATTAGATTTTGGCTCATGAGGGTGGAGACACAAATGTCAATAGGTTGCAATAAATCATAAGAAAGTTATGAGAGCTGTATTTTATAAGCAAGGCTACATGCCTTTATATGTATTTAGTAACAGCACCAACCAATGTGAATTTTTGACTGTGGTTGAATGTTTTTATTTGGAAATTGCATGGTCCCTGGGTTCAGTGGATTGAAAAAAGCATAAAGAACTTCTAGCTTAAAAAAGGACTGCTTAGGTCACTTATACTTTGAATATTTGTGGACTGCAAACTCTTTTTATTTATGTCTAACTTTGATGGAGAGTGTGAAATATGCAGCTGTTTGGTTTCTAATTTATGCACATTACATTTCTCAATCTACACTATTTTGTTTCTGGTATGACAAGCCTTCAAAACCCACATGGCTGTCCTCTGACAGGGAGAGGTAATGTGGCCCTCTGGGAAACCAAGAAAGGTGGCTTCCTTGGGTCCTTGTTTACTTAGCAGAGGTAAAAATGAAAACAAAGGCTTAAAAAAATAGACACAACTGAGTCCTAGTGGGGAAAAGGGCCCCACACATGAATGGGTGGTTGTACCTGCCACCTTAATACCCATAACCACATAGTGCCACGCCACAGGCACTGTGCTCACCTTGATTCTTCTGGGCTCTGGGCTCTCTGAAGAGGGCAGCATCCTCAGTGCAGAGGATCTGCCTCTGACACCCCTTCCCAAGGCACTGTAGCCACTATTTCCCAGTGTGTTATTCTCTGAGCACTTAAAAACTCAACAAATTGGGATGTAGAACCACCTCTTAGTCATCTTCCAGGAGACGTCTGAGAAGTCCAGTAGGGTTTGTGAAAGAAAAATGCAACTCCAACTTTGAAAAAGGCAACTTGAGATTGCTTGATTTCCTAATATTACGCTAGAGCATTTTCTAGTAAGTGCACTTGACTCTTGTACTAGATTCGTAGGGCTGCTATAATAATTTCCCACAAATTAGGTGATTTCAAACAACAGATATTTATTCTCTTGAAGTTATGGAGGCTAGAAGTCCAAAATAAAGTGCCATCAGGGCCATGTTCCCTCTGAGGGCTCTGAGGGGATAATCTGTCCCATGCTTCTGCCAGTACTTGGTGGCTTCAGGTGGTTTATAGACATGTCACTCCACATTATCTCCCCTTTTTTCTCTCAATCTCCTCCCCACCCCATGTTACTCTTATAAGGTTACATTCAGGACCCACCCAAGTAGAAAATAATTATTCACTTTTCTGGAAATCTATAGTAACTTAATCACATCTTTGCCATATATGGTAATATTTGCAAATTCTGGGGGATGTGGACATCTCTTTTGGAAGCCACCATACAGTTCACTACAATTCTCATATGGTACTCTTGGGTTTGCAATATATTAACAAATATATGCAAATATAAATGTGCAGATGTTTATAACCTTTTAAAGATGGCTGAGTTCTGGGCTGAGGTTGTGGCTCAGCAGTAGAGTACTCGCCTAGCATGTACCAGGCCCTGGGTTCAATCCTCAGAACCACACACACACAAAAAAATAAATAAATAAATAAATAAATAAATAAATAAAATAAAGGTATAAAAAAAGTTTTAAAAAATGATGGCTGAGTTCTTATGATGCTATGGCCTGATAGAGAAATTAACTCCAAAGGGGATTTTATCCTATTGTCTTGTAGAAAGTTAATCAATCTTGTATCTATCTTGGGAAACTTAGTTTGGTATTTCTTTTTCAACTGGCTATATAAATCTCTGTTCCTCAATGCTTTGCTTTTGGAACCAATTCTTTTGTCTTTCTGTTGGTCCCTTCACAAACATCATAAACAAATAAATCTCAATTTAAAAAATGTGAGCACAGAGAAGTAAATTTTTTAGTTTATTGCACAAGGCTATTTATATACATTCCAGAAAATTAATGAAAAGGTATCTTGGGTTCATGAATTGGAAGAGTAAGTAGTGTTAAAATGTCCATATTATGCAAAGCAATTTTTAGATTTGAGGCAATCTCTTTTAAAACACCAATGGCATTCATAACAAAAATAGAAAAAAAGAAAAAAAAGAAATCCTAAAATTTGTATAGAATCAGAAAAGACCATAAATACCAAAGCAGTCATGAGTAAAAAGAATGAAATGAAAGTGGAGCATTATACTGATTTTGAAATATACCATAAAACTATAGTAAACAAAACTACATAGTAAACAAAATGTGACAATGTGAAAATAGACATGCAGATCCATGGAATGGAATAGAAATCCCCAATAGCCATTGCCTACAGCTAGCTTATTTCTAACAAAGATGCCAAGAACACATGATAGGGAATGACAGTCTCTTCAATAAATGGTGTTGGGACAACCAGATATCCACATGCAAAAGAATGAAATTGTACCCTTGTCT